CTCTCTCTCTCTCTCTCTTTCTCACACACTCTCTTGCTCTCTCTCTCTCTCTCGCCCCCTCTCTTGCAATTTCCATCTTTCTTTTTATGCGTGCACTGTTATAAACACAATAATCCCATATATACAAATGATAAACACATAAATCTCTAATGTAGTTACTTGGATCATGGGGGAAACGCATTTAATTTATTCTTGATTATGTGGGAGGAGCTTATATATACTAAGCGTGCGTTTATTAAGTTCAGCCTAGAATTAACACGTAATCTTTCGTAAGCTGCTGAATTATGTTTATAATAAACCCCATGCACTCTTCTTCGGCTTCCCATCGGATTCTCTTCGGCTTAAAATTGCATGTAGCCGCGACAAGTCACGAAAGTCTGTGCTCTCTATTTGTACAATGTATTATCTCAAGAAAATTATTATTGTCATTAGCAGATATTAGGCATGCGCGCACAGAGATCCGACGCAATAAGCTAAACTACGTTGCAATAACACTGGGCAGTTGTAATTATTAAAGCGAGTCATTAGTAATGTAATTTTTCATAACGAATCACTGGAGAATATCTGCTTTCTAGTTTAACTGAATAATATCAACAAATTTTCAACATTTCGTTTGGCGGCATACATAATTTTTCACGCGCGACGTACGATAGCGCCGGTTGACGGTATTGACATGAAGCATTTCATTCGACGTTGTGGGCACGTGAGATATATACCGCAAAAACAGGTCGTCTTAAAATTAATTAATAGAGGTGTTGAGAATACAGATTTATCGCGAAAAATGTCACGCTCGAGTCTCTCTTTTTGAACGCATAATCTCGAGAAGTTAGTATATTAGTGTAAGCTGATATATTGGGAATGTGCGCACAGAAGAAAAAGTCAATGAGCGTTGTTAGGGTATAATTTGTATTAGCGATGGCGTACAGAGATGTTTAACTGTAAGTTATGCTGATGCAAGAAAGATATAAGAGTACCACTGCATGAGCGTTTGCAGTTATGAAGGTAAAGCATTATATTTGTTATTTTTTACTTATATCATTTTCACGGCTCTTGTTGCGACATTACCAGTGTAGCAATCTAGTGACCACATGTAGCTGATATCTGCAAACAATCCATAGTTTACCTAGTTTCTTTTTTGATATCCGCCGACGCTGACTAGAAGTAATGGTACGTTTACTACAATAATACAATAGATACAAAAGGATACAATAACGTAATTAACCTAACTCTGGTGTCGGGCTCCAATTGTTAATTGTGTCTAACCAGAGCAAGTAAATCAATATAATATTAATTATCTATCTGATATGCTTGCTTTGATGTAACGATTGATGTACAAAGTTGTATATTTCAATAGTTTAAGTGCTGATAGTAGGATAGTGTCATTATTATTAACAGTAAATATAGCAAAACAACGACTACAATGTAAATAAGTGTGCTAGTCATACTTTTTTTGTGTATATATCCTTGGTAGTTATCCAATTTCATGAATTCAAAATATATCGTAAAAGTATGCTATATCATGAACAATTATCTAAATAAATAAATATAAATAAATAAATAAACGAAATCTCACAATACTTCCGCTAGAGATCGCTAGTTTCTTCATAAAAAAGAGCATGTCCAGGCCAAGGCCTAGACTGGCACTCGCTACAGCTCGCTCCCACTTCTCGGCTTAGTTACTCGATGGGTAATCGAGGTGGGAGCGAGTACCAGTCTAGCCAAGGCCCAGGCCGTTCTTGTCCGCTTCAGCGGACAGTATTTTAAATTCCAAACAATCTTCCAAGAGTCTAGATAACCATTACCGGAAACGAATAAAATTACACGAGACAGAGTCATGACAGAGTTTAGTGTGCTGGAGAAGAATTTTTTAAGTGATCCTTGTCCAAGCAAATACAAGAAGGAGGAGATTTCTCATAAGATTGGAAAGAATTACGAGTTTGTCAACATGTGGTTTCAGAACAGGAGAAGGGGGAATCAGCGTAAATCTTTACCTGACAATGACCTACAGATTGAAAAACTATTCCAGTTAACTACTACTAGTACTAGTGCTGAAAAAAAAAGCTATGGTAAATAATTATTTTGGACATGAGCTAGCTGACAGCCTCAGCCTGTGTCTGTGTGGCTGTGGCCCTGTCTCAGTGTCTGTCTGCTGTCACTGTGTCAGTGCATAGATTAGATATATACAACACAGGTGTTGTATATATCTATGGTCAGTGTCACAGACACACGCCATTGACATTGTCAGTAATCATGCCATGAAAGGCATGATCTCTGCTACAGTGCTAGTAGTACTACTATACTACTGCTAGTAGTAATTAAGATGATAGAATCTTGGCAACGGTATATTGGCAATATATATCTTGTAAATTTACATGAATGAGGTGCAGGTGCAAAGTTTATAATTTCAATTGCTTTTCACATTGGATCAGATGGGTTGGATACGGGCCCGTGTGACGAATTAGTGATAATCCGTGCTGGAGCTGGTAAGGATTCAAACTCGAAGGCTCTTGCAGTTAACCAAAGTGAACGGAGTTTCGTGTCATATCACGGATATGCAAATGAAAGAGGTCGTACTCTAGCTGATGGATGCAGTGACATGGAAATTAATGCACAGGTTAACAATGACAATGATTTTTGATGACAACTATTACTTATACAAGTTACAATACTAAATAGAAATTATTTTTGCAACGCTATTGGAAGGGTCTATTGTGTCGTTAGAGTAACAAGCCTTGCACAGTGTTATTACTGGGACGGTTATAAGCGGTTATATTGTAAGCAACAGTATTAAATCTATCCGAATTAATTTTCAAATATTACAAGGAAAAACTAAACTTTTACATTTAGGTTGATTGTTATGAATCTGCAAATGACATGCTGAGTGAAGACATCCCACTCTACCAGTGTATAGTCGACATGATAGCACTTGAAGAAGGTGTGTTTCGGAGACAAGCCCGATGGGACACAGCTGTAAATGCTTCACTCTATGGAATCCAGCTCAGCTGTGATGCAAGGCTAGTCTATAAAGCTGAAACAGGCCTAGAACTAGTTCAAGACTAGTATATGTAAAGCTTCTAATCAAGACTAAATCTGCCAAAAAAATTAAATTTCCAATGCATTTTTATGAAAAACGTGAGACGATGAATCTAATGGCTAGAATAAAAACTTATGTACAATGTCTCCTATCATTTTTAGTGTAAATTACAAAGCAATTTATTAGTATCTGGTATCATATTGAAGCTAAGCAACTTCACATTTACCTGAATACTGTATAGAGCTATGGAGCATGAAATTGATCAGATTCCAGAATTACTTATTGTGTAGAAAGCAGAAACAGCTGTAGTATGTGTAGAAGCAATAATACAGTTTATTTACTTGTTCAACGATTTATAGCTCTTACTAAATTCATTTACAAAAGGAAATTGAATAACTATTGTGACTATTTCTTCAGAGGTCAGTAAGACATGTTACTGCTATAATATCAAGATAAACTTGTTGTGCAGACCACGTATAAATTCAAATGGCATATGGTAATCAATATTTCACAAGTATTAGTAAATCATGCATTTTTGCAACGTAACAAAATCGTTTACAAACGCTGTCAAACGAAATATTACAGTGTTCATACTAGTAAGGTGGTACGAAATGACTCGGTATCACCACAATTTCCATTTGAACAAGTTAATGCGTGGCCTCGTCTTATTCAAGTAGTACTCTTCGCATTTCCGCCAGATGTTCTGCAGGAACACCGTGTTCCTGTTGTACGTCGTTATGACGAACGGCGGCGGTGTCAGCGCCCGCTCGCCGGCCCACTTGCCAATGTCGTGCGAGTTGAGCGCAAAGTGCTCGTTGAGCTTCGTGAAGCGCAGCGAGAGCTCGCTCGCGAGGATGCCCGTAGTCACGTCGTCAATCCACAGGTACGTCATGTTGGTCGACGCAAGGCTGAAGGCGCGGGCGACGTCGCGGCCGAGCACGATCGCCCAGCCGGAGCAGTACGGCTTGAACTCCGCGTCGGCGAACTCGTCCGGCGACAGGTACCACTTGCTGGCGGCGTCGCGCACGGGCGGCATGCCCGTCCACACGTTGCAGAGCAAGAGGTCGCCGCGGCCCGCGTACGTCTCGCGCAGCATGCGCACAATGGCGAACGTGTCGACGAAGACGTCGTCGTCCGACTTGAGCACGAACTGCGCGCGCGCGCACCGCGCTGCCGCCCACTTCATGCCCATCATCAGTTTGTAGGTGAGGTTGCGGTAAGAATCGACGAAGTTTCCCTGCACGATGTCGCCGTGCCGCGCGGCCTCGCCCACCAGCTCGCGCTGCATGCGCTCGCTGCGCGGGTCGGCGAGCAGGAACGCGGTGCGCACGCGCACGCCGTAGTTGTCCGTCGCGTAGCCCCACGTCTGCCGGATGGCGGTGCGCTCGGCGGCGTTGCCCGGCGCGCTGTGCACGAGTATGAGCAGGAAGACGTCGCCGCCGCCGCCCTCGCTGCCGTTACCGCCGCCGCACACGTCGCTGTCGATCACGAAGGAGAAGTTCGTCAGGTTTATGAGTCGGTTTGCCGGCGCGGTCTGTTTCAGGTCAAACGGCGGATTCCAGTGCCAGTCAGCGGAGACCAGCTCTGGTAGCTTGATGCAGAGCGGGCACAGCATTATGCATACGATAAACAAAATGCAGATCACAATGAGGCAGCTGAGGATGACCAGTTGGCACTGTATAGTTGAGCATGCCATCGTGCCTGATCGTTGACGTTCAACGGTAGTCATTTCTTGCACGTTCATACACGGGTATCCACCGATAATTAAGCTGACACGATCACAAGCAAACCTATATGGTGTTTAAAAATATATTATTAGAGAGGGGTTATACATGGGCTATTTTACCAGTGTCTCGCGCAGTCGGTGCGATTGCTCTCCGATCGCCCAAGGATGGAGCATATACTATAGCTAACGGCCGATCGTGCCACACTAAAGGCCAAGACACACTGCAGCGACAACGACCGCCTGTAACGACAAACGACTTTTCAGAAAATTAGAAACTATTGTTTCCTATGAGCCATTGCACACTGACGCGACGACGACCGACGACAACCTCGACGACAAAAATATTTAGAAACGTTTCCATTTCCCAGCGACTTTCGCCAGCGACACTTTACAAATGGCCAATCACAGCCGTTTCCATCGGCACGTGACATCGCCATTACGTCATAAAATTATAAACCAATGCTAGCCAGGAAGTAGACAGCAGTCCTCAGCGCTAAACTCGCACCGCCTGTCAGAAACAGTGGGGCCGCGAACCCATCTAACCAAAACGTGCAAAGCTACGGTCAGCCATCAGACGTGATTATTGTGTACGTTCGTATAATGCTGCGTATATATTACTTTATTATACTTTAATACTTTAATGCTGGGTCGGATGAGTAAGCTTCATAGCTTTTTGGACCCCTCTATATGATATAAAGCATAGCAGTGTCTCAGGTGGTCTTTTGACCCCTCAAGATGTATAAGAAATGCTGTTAACCTGTACATATGTTTTTGGTGGTGCGCACATAAGAAGAAAAATAGGACTACACTAACAGGAGGTGTCGAACTTATACTGATGCCACTGGTTGCTGTTGAGCCGAGATTTGAAGAATGAAGATTTGAATGTTTAGACTCTGATATGACCACTAAACTTGGAAGAATGTTCCACTGGTCTACGACCCTAAATGAAAAGCTGTTTTGTCTGATTGTAGAATTACATGTTTTAGTTCATGACCACGTCACGTGTGTTATTCCCACTTCTAACAAAGAATACCCTCTCATCCATGTCTTCTAGGCCACTTAAAATTTTAAAGACATGTATCATGTCGTACCGATCTCTTCGGTACTCTAGTGATGGTAAACCGAGCTTTATAAGCCTCCCCTTGTACGACAAGTGTTTTATGTCACATACTAATTTTGTTGCCCTTCTCGGTACTTTCTCCAACAGACGAATGTCCTTCTTCAGGTACGGTGACCAAACTGGCGTTGCATATTCCATTAACGGACAGACTAGGGATTTGTACAGGGAAAGAAACATCCTTGTCCATATGGTCAAATGAGTGCTTTATCAAGCCTACCATTCTGTTTGCCTTTGCCTCACATTTCCTCACTTGTTTTTACAAATTTCAAGCTGCTATCAAACGTTACCCCCAGATCACATTCTTCAATATCCTGTTTCACAATGGTGTTTCCCATATTCTTCTTCATAGTGTAGCAATTAATACATTGGATTGTTCTTGCTAATATGCATAACTTTGCACTTTTCCATGTTAAAACGCAGCTGCCACTTATCTGACCAGTCACACAG